AAAAGGGCTCCTCAGCCAGGCGCAGTGGTTCACGCCTATAGTCCCTGCACTTTGGGAGGCCAAGGCGGGTGGATCACTTGAGGTCGGGAGTTCGAGACCAGCCTGACCAACATGGAGAAACCCCGTCTCTACTAAAAATACAAAATTAGCCGGATGTGGTGGCTCATGCCTGTAATCCCAGCACTTTGGGAGGCCGAGGCAGGCGGATCACCTGAGGTCAGGAATTCTAAACCAGCCTGACCAACATGGAGAAACCCCATCTCTACTAAAAATACAAAATTAGCCGGTTGTGGTGGCATATGCCTATAATCCCAGCTACTTGGGATGCTGAGGCAGGAGAATTGCTTGAACCCTGGAGGCGGAGGTTGTGGTGAGCCAGAATCGCGCCATGGCACTCCAGTGTGGACAACAAGAGTGAAACTGTCTCTTAAAAAAAAAAAAAGACAACTCCTGTCACTACTTGCCAAGCCAAGTTGCCTTATAGTGGTGCTATACAGGTGAGATCTACCTAAACTCAAAGGAACTCAAGAAATATTTGAGAGTCTCATGATAACTCTTGAGTGAAAGCTTGTTTTCCAAGCATGCATGAAAGAACATTGACAGGAGAACTTATGTGACATCTTCAGTTTTCCTTTTCCGTGAGATTATCTATAGCTGATATACTATCACCACCTCCATTCGATAAAGTAGCATGAAGATATCTAATTATGCAAAATAAAACATAAGAAAACTTTGGCCTGGGACACCCAGGAGCTAGATTGCAAATATGCCCTCCCACATTCTTATGTGCAGCATGCTACATTAGACTCTTCCTTCTTTTAAAATCACATTTATCTTTATTTAGCCCTTTCCAAAACTATTTTGAGGCAGTGTTCTGAAAACCTTCAAAATATTTTATTACATTGGTGATAGTTAATGATGTAATTCCTCAACAAGTTCTCAAAATAATGGTCAAAATTGATTTTAGTAGACACTTTCAATAAAAATCTAGGTATGTGGCCATCCTGGTCATTTTTCCTGGTGACTGATAGAAATTAAAGTTTGCAGGAAGAGACTGGTAGCTTATCTCTAGACTATCTTTCCTGAAAGTAAGGTTCCCCAGAGAAGCTTTTGTGAGGGGCTGGAGTTTGGAGATACACATTCTGGTGAGGACAAAGAGCTGCTGATGAGGGAACCTAATCAATAATGTAGTACAATGAAAGACCCCCTCAATGCTGCACAGAGGCCAGCCTCAGAAAAACCTGCAGGCAGGGGTGGCTTTGGCTTTGACCCATGAAAAACTGCTCATTGAAATCCATGGGATGCATGAAGTACAGATATTCTGTGTTCAGGCTTCCAACACATCTTCTCTATTAAAGGGAATGGGGCTCCACTTGAATTCTACACCCACCCACTAGTATAAATATCATTGTATTTCTTGATTAGCTAACAAAATTGTGCAACACATTCATATGGCATGCATTTTTCCTTAAATAGACCTTACAAACAGTGCTCAGTATATAGCTGTGTATTGATAGATTGCCCTTGCAGCCTTTTATATTTTAAAATAATGAATAGAGATTCATTTATATGTATATCTATATATCATACATATGTAGAATAGATTCATACATAAATATAAAGTGTAATACATGTTCATTCATTTTCTATCAGCCCATATATATAAATGCAATGGCTTATGGGTTTACATCACCCTAGCATTCCTTATCTTGAGGTTTTTGTCTCAGCATTGCATCTAACTTCTATTGAGCTTCTTTCTATTCTTTTTTCTTCCCTCTCTTCTCCCTCCTTCCCCCGTCTTGTCTCTCTCTCTCTTTTTCTTTCTATTATTTTTGTGTATATCATGAGTGTGCAGAAAGGAACACCATGAGATATGACTTGGTGTCTGTAGGTTGGGGACATAGTGAGTTCAGAATACTTTTATATAATATGACCCTTGGCTAATGCTCTTGTCAAAATGTGCTGTTCTTGGTATGAGATGCATAATAAACTGGGATTCATTATTTCACTGAACTAGCAACTTTGTACCCTAAAGGGGCTTTGGTGTGACCAGACTGTTGTTTAATCTTTGTGTCAGGGCCCTCTCTTCCTGGCAAAGAGCTGTATGAGCCATCATGTGTTAAATGCCTTGTGATGGGGAGGGGTTTGTTTGGAGTTTCTTGCCAGCTGGATGCATTGCAGGTGTAGACAGCTGTAATATGGAGGTGTGACCCTGAGATACTCAAAAGCTGTTTGGTTTGTTATAGCAACTGCGAGAGTTAATAGCTGAACACAAGCCTCATATAGATAAGATGAACAAAACTGGGCCACAGTTACTGGAATTGAGCCCTGGGGAAGGCTTTTCTATCCAAGAGAAGTATGTGGCAGCCGACACCCTTTACAGTCAAATTAAAGAAGATGTCAAAAAGCGAGCTGTGGCACTGGATGAAGCCATTTCTCAATCAACTCAGGTAATTGTTTACACTAGAAATAGAATTGGGTTCTTGCAGACAACAAAGCACAGAAAGACATTTTCCTGGATCTTCTGATTAAATTTTAACTAAAATTATTTCACCACATTAACTCTGAGTATTGATGTGTGTGTCCCTCAGAGGTGATGTTTGCTTGCATCCAGCCTTTATCTCCTTATTTTTCTCTGCCTGCTTATAGATATAATAAAAATAATTTTCAATGACTTAAGAAACATGCAGTTGTCGTCATTGTCCAAAAATTTAATTCAGTGTCCATCCTGAATAGAATACAATATTTGCCATTGGGAGAGATAAAGGAAAGTGTTACAATTATTAATAAAATACTCTCAAGAAGGCAATGAGAAGAAAGAATGATAGGCTAAATGAAAAGAAAAAGAATATAAAGTTGGATATTGATGGTTTTTTCTTTTCTGAAAATATCTTTTTCAAGAAGTTGAATTTTGAAATACCCAAAGATTTTCCATTTTCAAGATTTGGGTTTTATTATTAGATATGGCACGTTAGAGTAGGCCAGTGTCACAGTCCTGTGTGATTATTCCTTAACTTTGAGATAGTATAGAACAAAGTTCATTCATAGATACGAATGAACAAGTTTTTATAGCTTTAATTGTCTATGGTTGAAAATAAAAATTTTAAATTCTCTCATGTGTCTGATTATGTGTTTAACCATGAAGTAAATAAAAACTTCTGAAACTTGTAACTTCTGTTATATCAGAAGTTAAAACATTGGGGAGGTTTTTTTTGTTAAAATTTTTTTTAACATTTTTCAGTTCAGGAAATGCATAACTTAAGAATTCCCTGGAATCTAATCAAAACTTTCCATGAATTTCACATTAAATAATATAACTTTTCAGGATGCCAAAATAGTTCATTAAAAATGAAGGAAACAATCCATTGTAATAGACAAATACTCAGCTTATTGAACTTGATTTTTAATATTAATTTGAATTATGATAACAGGATGAAGCAACAGGTAAAGAGATGCTGCTGCCATGTCATCCTGGTCCAATTGCATATTAACATATACCATTTCTTAATGTATACACTCAACTATTCACAAGAAACTAAGTCTATTGTACATAGGTCATGTGACACAGAGGTGCATATACGTCATAATTTTAGGCATGTCTTCACGTACCAGGTGGATGTAACTTTTGAATGGGTCTGTTGATAAAGAGGCTAAGATTTATTCTTAATTTTGCCACTAAATTGTAAAAAATGTTTCTTCATTTAAATTTCACACTTGGTATTACAGATCTTTTTTCCATAAAAGATCTCTTTGTTTTGCCCCTAGTTCCATGACAAGATAGATCAGATTCTTGAGAGCCTGGAACGCATTGTGGAACGTCTGAGGCAGCCGCCGTCTATCTCTGCAGAGGTCGAGAAGATCAAGGAACAGATCAGTGAAAATAAGAATGTGTCAGTAGACATGGAAAAGCTACAGCCATTATATGAAACTCTTAAACAGAGGGGAGAGGAAATGATCGCTAGATCTGGGGGGACTGATAAAGACATATCTGCCAAAGGTAATACTTTTGGAATAGGGAAACAAACTTTATTTTTAAAGCATTCTAAATGTTTATGCTGTTTACTCAACATCCAATTGGATAACAAAATGCTGCATTTTAAAAAAGGTATTACAAATGTGATGTGTTTAGGGTTGAAGGGCTGTGTATGCAAATCCCTTGTTAATGTCTTCCTGTGTTTGTGAAATTAATCAGTTGACTACAAAGCATGCCATTATACATAGACCATGTATAAATACCATATATTCAAAGACCATGTGTTCTCAGGCCTTTTAAATCAGTAGGTTAAAGTGTATTGCTAATAAGGCCATATCTGGGTTTTTTCCCTCATTACTGACTTTACTACCTTACATAGCATGCATCCTGCGTCACATAGCCACAAAAATGAGAACCACTACCACAGCCAGCCATCTTTGAGATATGAGCTGAGGGTCAAAAGGGAGAGCATGTGTGTAGTGGAAATTCACAATGAGAGTACTCTAGAAGCAAGCTCAAAATACATACCATACATTGTTACATTCCTGGGACTGAACAGACAATTTTACTATTGATTTGGAGAGCATAAAAGTGTACCTAGGTGATTATTTCACTCCCTTTGGGATTAAGGACAGCCTTAATGAACTTGAAACTTGATAAATTTGGTTCCACTCTGAGCTCACTTTTGTCAGGAAGAATCTTGGTTTGGTAAGAGTAGGAGACCCAGAGATACTGTGTTATTTGGCATAGACTCTTGGACCTACTGATACCCACTGGACTGGAATCATTCAAAACTTGGTCCAGTTTTAGATATTTAGCAAATTGGATCACTACTTTCTGTGTGAACTGTAACATTCTGCTTTGTTGGTTCCATGGGGCTAACCTGTCGCCTTGTGGATATTGTTTTGCTTCATAGCTGTTCAGGATAAACTTGACCAAATGGTTTTCATTTGGGAGAACATACACACACTGGTGGAAGAAAGGGAAGCCAAACTACTGGATGTGATGGAGCTAGCAGAAAAGTTCTGGTGTGATCACATGTCATTGGTAGTTACCATTAAAGATACTCAAGATTTCATCCGGGACCTGGAAGATCCTGGAATTGATCCTTCAGTAGTAAAACAACAGCAAGAAGCAGCAGAGGTAAGCAGAAAATCTCATTTAAAGTTAGAAAAATAAGTTGTGGCATGATGAAATCCAGATTCCTTGGGTAAATATTAGGCGTTACTCTGTTAACATTTATATTTGGTTCTGAAAATGGAATGTACAATGATCCAGTAGGAGATACAGTATACCCACAAATTTCGCTTTGAGATTGTATGTTTAAAACGACTTCTCAGGCCATGCATGGTGTCTCATGCCTGTAATCCCAGAACTTTGGGAGGCCAAGGTGGGAGGATCACTTGAGGCCGGGAGTTCGAGACCAGCTTGGCCAACATGATGAAACCCTGTCTCTACTACAAGTACAAAAATTAGTCAAGCATGGTGGTGCAAACCTGTAGTACCAGCTACTTGGAGGGTGAAGCATGAGAATCACTTGAACCTGGGAGGTGGAGATTGCAGTGAGCCAAGATTGTGCCACTGTACTCTAGCCTGAGCAGCAGAGTGAGACCCTGTCTCAGAAAACAAACCAAAAAAACCCACAAAACAACAACAACAAAAAATTTCTCTTTATCCTCACTGTTCTTGCCTTATTTCAGGGCCTCATTATCTCTCTCTTTCTTTTTAGCTTCCACAGTAATCCAAAGTGCAGACTGTCTTTCCTTGCTAGGCCTCCCACCTTGCCGCCAGTCTTCCCTCTAGATCTGCTCTTACTCTGTTGCTACCTAAACCCACTCAGAGGCATCCCCAGCCTTCTGGATAAAGCTCAAACTCCCTAGAGCAGGGCATGCAGCTTTTTGCATCCCAGCCTAGCTCGTGCCTATGTTTCCAAAATTATGTTTTTCTCTTGCTCCTTTACCGAGCTCCCTCCCTGCTATTGATTAGAAAGGAGGTTTCCCAAAACAAACTGTTTTGCTCTTTCTAGTGTCAGTGCCTTTGCACATCTTATTTCCTCACTCTAGAATGTCCTTCCTGCCACTCTTCTGGCAAAGCCCACTCAAGGTTCAGTTGGATTATTACCCCCATATAAAACCTTTTCTTGTATACTTAGCAGAGTTAGTGCACCTGTGTTCCCATAAGGCTTTCTTCATGCAAAGGACTCTGCACATAGTATGATTTACTGTTGCTTATGCCTCTGTCTTTCCTGGTATTCTCTTGAGGGGAATAGCCATATCTGTTTTTCTTTGTATCCCCAGTGCCTGGTTTAGGGCTTGGTTTATGGTTATTCAGTGTTTGTTGAATGAATGAATATATTTAACCAAGAAGATGAAAGCAAAAGTAGGATACTGCCTTTCTGTTGTGATATTTTTGTACCTTACAGGTCCTACCTGGTCCTACCTAGGGTAATGACATAAAATGTAAATCCATAACTAGATTATTCTGTATCTACTAACAGATACATTAATTTGTATAGTTTTTGAATTCATATTTTACTTGTCTATTTTAATGTATATTGTTTGGAAACCAAAATGTCTTTCTAAGCCTTGCAGTATTGTTGATATTTAAAAAAATTTGTTTTGGTATTTGTTAAGGTATTTCATATTTATCATTTCTTAAATATTATCTTTATAATAAACATTTGGCATTTGTTACTAAAAGGGTGCTGTTTTTCTTTTAAAATATTTTTTATTGAAAAAATTTATTGCAGAAACTTAGAAAACAGAAAGAAAGAAAGAAAAATGATTAGAATGCCACCTTCTAGAAATAACTACCATTGATATTGTTGTGTACTTTTTAAAGTTTTGATGTGGTTTTGCTTAAAATTCAAAGGCTGTCATTTTCTTATTCTAGGCCATAAGGGAAGAAATAGACGGACTACAGGAGGAGCTGGATATAGTTATTAACCTGGGTTCTGAACTCATTGCGGCATGTGGGGAGCCTGATAAACCCATTGTCAAGAAGAGTATAGATGAGGTACAACTGGCTTACTTATGAGAATGGCTTTTAAAAAGTTTTCAGTTAACTAAAATATTTTGTTAAAAGTAGTTGAAAATTTAAAATATGGCACTAAAAGAGTTCTAACATACATCTTGTAGTTAAATTCAGCATGGGATTCTCTAAATAAAGCTTGGAAAGACCGGATTGACAAACTTGAGGAGGCAATGCAGGCTGCCGTTCAGTACCAGGATGGACTGCAGGTAAGGGGATTACAGTGTATGTGCTGGTCTTAGCTGGAAGGAGGAATCATAATAATTGATGTGTACATATTGGCACCACCTCAAGACCTGCCAGTGCATATGCAATTGTGGGCAAATTATTCCTGCAGTTGCCTGTGTATCTCAGTTCATGTTTTGTCTTTTAGAAGATATTTCTGACCTTTCGGATATGTGTAGATTTATATACACATCTAAACACATTTCTGTATACACATTCAGTGAAATTTACTTTGAAAAGAAATATTTTGATTTTTTTAAGTGAAAGTAAATGTTCCCACACAGTATTTTTTATAAATGGCTCAGCACCAGACAGTGAAATGGAACTAAATCTGAATTCTGTTCTGAGTGGAATAAGATGAAAGGAGTAAACACTATCTAAAAATATCACCAAGTTTAACTAAAGTCAGAAGTAAAGAAATTTGATTTGAAGCCAATGTTCTCCATGTACAAAAATAGATTTCTGTTAGGTCATAATCTGGTGTGTAAAAACTGTTTTCTTCTTTTCCATGTATATAATTTGTTTTAATAGTTGTTTTTCACTTAAGGGTTTTCATTCAGTTCATTAACCATTTATAAGGTTTTTTTTTGTATTAAAAATTCTGTCAGTTGAGGCCAACTCGAGTATATTTCTCTCCCTACCTCCCTTAACCTTGCTCCATTTCCTAACAGGCTGGCAGGAGTTTAATCTTTCATCCTTCTTACCATATGGAAAAAGCTTAAGTATTTCCATAACACTAAGTGAATATTATTTTTAAAGCCCAGATGAGAACATCTTTTCCTTTTTCATTATGCCATTCCATTTCTATATTTGTAAAAATAAATGTCACAGCTAGGCTTTATGCCAGCTGAGAAGTTTTTTGAACTTTGGAAATATATGAAAAATTTTACTACAAATAACATAACACTTTATTTTAATTCTCCCTCCCTCTTTTTTTTTTTTTTTTTTTTTTCTTTTGTAACCTAAGTGATAATTTACTGTTAGGTATCAATGACAAATAACTAATTCGGGTTCCAGCCTGTCTGTGAGGCTAGGTCATTGTTAAATCATTGAGTTGTGATCTCTTCCATGGCTAGAGGTGGCAATGCCACCACATGCAACCATTTAGGTGGTCACGGGCGAGCCACCATGGCTTGTACAGTCTCATTATCACTACCAGAAAAACAAGGCCTGTCGTAAGTCGTGTCGATCATGTATTAGTAGCATCACCTGTGCTAGCAAAGGGCAGATTGATTTATTAAGTAGCTACAGCGCAGCTAGCTGTAGCTAGATGTCAAAGCTTTGGAAGCTAATTTTCAAGATTTGATTGTAAAGTAAAATATGTTTTATTTCCCGGGTTGCTGCTTAAGTACTTAGTCAGGGTTGGCTAATGGTAATTTAAAAATCCAAGTTTTATCGCCCTCCTATATGGTTTGGAAACTTCTTTAAAATGCAAAATATCCCAGTGCTTTGGGAGGCTGTGGTGGGAGGATCACTTGAGGCCAGGAATTCAAGACCAGCCTGGGAAAGATAGCAAGGTCCTGTCAAAACAAGAGCTGAAGTACCCCATCTACAATTTTTTTTTTTTTTTAATTAGCCAGCCGTGGTGGCACGTGCCTATAGTCTGAGCTATTTGGAAGACTGACGTAGGAGGATTGCTTGAGCATAGGAGTTTGAGGTTACAGTGAGCTATTTGATTGTGCCACTGCACTCCAGCTTGGGTGACAGAGTAATGGCAAAATGCTTTTATTTTGTATTCATTACCTAAAAAACAGTGACTTGAACCTTTTTAGACTATTTTTATTACCTAAATAAATAAGAAAAACAGGAGAGTCTAAAATCTGTTATAATTCAGAATAATGATCTTAATACTAATAATTTATATGTGCAGGATTTTAATGCTAATCTAAATAAGATTTAAGGGTTTGAGTCAAATATTTTGCTTAAGTTCTAAACAGTGATTTCTTATTTGAATGAACAAATAGATTTGAATCTTTTTCTTTCATTGTATTTATACAGGCTACCTTTTAAGCACACATAGTGAAGAATTTTATGTGATTGGATTTCTATAAATGTTTTCAAATGAATTTTTTTAGAAGGCCATAATATTTCAAGAATCTGTTGAATAAACAATTTCTTTTGCAAACTTGTATGTATCTATTTCATATTTGGGACAACCATTTTGGTATATTACTGCTTTTACTAATTTAGGTGAACCATGTTAATTTTTTATAAAATAGTCTCATTCCATAATATCTTTTAGATTTATGATTGTATTTTTCTGTAGTACTTGAAATACTGTAGCAATTTCAAATGTACTGTTGTAACAACACATGGACTATTGTGTCTTTCAGGCAGTATTTGACTGGGTGGATATTGCAGGTGGTAAATTAGCTTCAATGTCTCCAATCGGAACAGATCTTGAAACTGTCAAGCAGCAGATTGAAGAGCTAAAGGTATGTATGGGGGCTAATTTATCGAAGACTTCCTTGCAATTTTAAGTTCTTGATTCACGTAGTTTTTTACATAAATTTATTTTACCCAATGTAAGTATGACAGCTTAATTATAAAGCTAGTTTAATGTACATAGTGCTTTCACATACTAAGCAATATATAAGTGCTCTTTAAATAAAGGAAAGAAAATACTATTAATAGTTTTCTTTTTATAGTAAATTAATAACTGTTCATATAGAAAAATCAGAAAATACAAATAAAAAAGAGAAAAACAAATTATTTGAAGTCACCCAAAATGTTATGTACCTAGAGATTACCTTTCTTAGATTTGATTTATAGCTTTTCTGATATCTTCATGTTAGGGACATGGGGGGTGTGTGTGTGTGTGTGTGTGTGTGTGTTTGTGTAGGTAGAGAGAGAGAGATGTATTTAGATAATACTGTAAGGATTTTTATAACTTGTTTAACTTGTTTATTCAGTAGTATATTGTTGTCACTACACTAGTATATTGTCAATACACCACAGCATCATTTTTCTTTTCCTGATACATATTTTTAATTTTAATTTTTAATTTTCGTGGGTACATAGTAGGGGTATATATCTATGGATTACATGACATATTTTGATACAGGCATGTAATATATAATAACTACATCAGGGAAAATGGAGGTATCCATTACCTCAAACATTTATCCTTTTTGTTACAAATAATCCAATTATACTCTTTTAGTTAAATTGTACAAAAATTATTTTTGACTCTAGTGACCTTGGCGTGCTAGCAAATACAAGCTCTTATTCATTCTTTCTATATTTTATACCCATTAACCGAACATTTTTATTTTCTTTAGAGTGTTCTGAGTAATTCATTTAGTCTAACAGGTTAAAAACACATTCATGATATAAGAATGTTTCCCAAAATGATTGATTTGTAAATGTTTGTTGTTTTCCATAGCTGTTCTCTGTAATTTTTGCTTTTGTAATTCTTGATCTGCAGATGTGAAAATGGCAGAACTGTTTCCTCTTTGAATTCCTCTATACCAATAATCATTTATCAAAATGGGATCAGCTATTTCCCTCCCAATTTTAGCTCTCCATATACAGAGACATCACACTGTTTGCAATGAACTTTGCTAGATTTTATGTGAAATATTATCTGGCTTTAAAATTGTAGCATTTTCACATCTAAGTGTGACATAGAATATTTCATTTAGAAACAAATTTTCTTTTTGAGAATTTTATCGTTATCACTAAATTGAGACTTTTTTTACTTTAATCTGCTCATGTGGCAAACATGTGATATACTTTATGTACAGTTATGGGTGTGGATAATTTATTTTGGATATTTGCATATAGCTCAGTGGTTTTTATACAGCAGCCTGGTTAGAAGTGCTCACTCTGAAATCAGGTTATCTGAGTTTAGGTCCTAGTTCATCCACTTAGGGCATATGAACTCAGTGGTCTTCCTGGTGTTACTAACTGGTCTTACTCCTATGTCTTTAGCTTACATTAAGGATAAAATTATTTCCTCAATAAGTTGGTTGAAAGTAACTTGAACATACCAAGTGCACACTATACCTTTGTTATTATTTTCAAATTATTATTCATGTATTTTTGAACAAAGTTAAGGGACTGCTAGCCATGAATTTTTTACTATTACATATTAAAAGAAATATTTTATGAAAAGACAGTTACCTATTACAAGCAACTGTTTGCTAACCTGTTAGTTGGCAAAGCCAAGATTATTAACTATGTCAGTGACTTAGAAAGTAGGAGAGAGAATAACATTCTATGTCAGCAGTGGGTGAGGCATAGGAATATTAATGAACACAGTACAGCTACAGAAAACATAAAATTATCAGGGATATAGGATGTGTGTAAAAGAGCAGGAAATACTAATTTGAGTTTCTTAAGACTTTTTTGGCTTTCATATGTGTCAACATATATTTCATTTTCTTTCCATAATTTTAAAACTCATTTTTCAAATACATATAAGATATTGGAATGAGTTCAACCTTGAAATTTAATTTTTTATTGTAGAGAATACAATGAAATGAAATGTCAAAATTATAAATAGAAATATCTATCTATCCAAAAATACTGAATAAAGAGAAAATATTTTCCTTATTTTTTCATTTACAATTCTTCCATTGGTAAGCCTCATGTGAGATTTTAACTTTGCGTCACCTCTCCTCAGTAAGTAGTGTGAATTAGAATAATGATATAACCAATAGATTTTTTTTGTTTGGAGTTAATGATTTTTAATAATATTTTCTTTGTATATCTCTTTTAAAATAGCAATTTAAGTCTGAGGCCTATCAACAGCAGATAGAAATGGAAAGACTGAACCATCAAGCAGAGCTTTTGCTAAAGAAAGTGACAGAAGAGAGTGACAAACACACTGTTCAAGACCCATTAATGGAACTGAAATTGATATGGGATAGCCTGGAGGAGAGAATCATCAACAGACAGGTAAATACCAAGACTTTTCTTAAGAAATTATACATTTTCAATTTCAGATATTAATGTAAAATACTTATTAAAGATAAAATTAGAATTCTTTCTGATTCTCATATATTCTTTTATAACCACGAGGAGCGTCAAACTTAAAACAGAAGGATATGATGATTAGGCTTCATTGGATGTGTTTATGGGCTTATGCAGCATGAAACAATTACTTTTTGCCCTTGTTTTATGGACATGTCATTCATAATATCAAATTTACAAGTGGATTTTCTTCCCACTTTTTCTGTAGCATAAACTGGAGGGTGCTCTATTAGCATTGGGTCAGTTCCAGCATGCCCTGGATGAGCTCCTGACGTGGCTGACACACACCGAGGGCTTGTTAAGTGAGCAGAAACCTGTTGGAGGAGACCCTAAAGCCATTGAAATTGAACTTGCCAAGCATCATGTATGTAGCTGTTAATGTATATTATGTTTCTTCTGTGTCCATTTCTAGTGTCATCAGATTTCTCAGATATATTTCTTCTTTATTCATGTTTCAAGTTTATGGTCTTGACACAAGTTCATATTTGACATTTATAACTAAAGGTTAACTACTTAAAACTTAAAACATTATAGTCAAAATATTTTTCTTAAAATATCGTGGTCAAAATATTTTTCTCATTCAAGGCAATTATTATCTAACAAAATAAGGATGAGCAATTTGTGCTAAAGTTTATTAGGGCTGCATGGCAAACACTAAAGATTTAAATCCTTAATTGTACCTGTCATTGTGATAATGTCACCTATTTTTTAAAGTTGTTAGAGATAGCCTAAAATATCATAGACTGAAAATGTCTTACTGCAGGTTTTATGTATATTTTCACTCTGGGCATCTGTATTTCCATGTCTCTTTCATTTGTAGCTTGTCATTTCTGACGTATTTTTATCGGTCTGTACATCTGTTATTATGTTGGGGCTTATCCCTTTGTCTCCATGTCACTCTTGTCTTTGACTGGATTTTTGTATCTTACTCCTTTTCTTTCTGAATTTTAAAAAATATTTATTATGTTTTAAAAAGTTATGTGTCCTGCACTTGATTTAAAGCTAGTAAGTTGAAAAATTTTTGTTTTAAGAGATACATGCAAAGCAATCTTGTATTGTTGTCACCTTTGTGACACTTCTTAATAGATCATTCCCTATCCCTTCAGTCACTAGACTTAATGAATAAAAGATTATGCACAGTAGAGTTTATCCTGGCATTCAACAATCTTTCATAGACTTTGACATTCACATTAATAGTGGTATCTTCAGAGTCCTAAATCCTAAGCTAAAATACATTTTCCTTGATTATCAAATAGGAAATGTCTGATTATTTTACATATTGATTAACATTTTTTTAAAAAGGTGAGTTTTTAGCACTTTATGCTGTACAGTTTTTGACTCTTCTTGCTTTTGTTCTCCTTCTTTCATACTTCCCCACAGTAATTGTTTCCTAGTTTAAAATTTTATTTTTCTCTTACCTTGTCTGTCTACATTGGTAGTCATTGCCCAGCCATATTTGATTAAACAATTTGGATTTATTTTGCATACTTAATGTTGACATAGAAACTTGTTTCATTATTTAATGTCTACATTATATGTTTGCTTAGAGCCATAATGACTGGTGAGACCAACTGCCTAGCAACACAATATGTTTATTCTCATGGTGTGAGTTTATAGCTGCATTTATATTTTTGTAAACCTATTGATTGTCTTAAAACTAACATACATCAGGATAGGAACTTTGTATAATAAGGTAGAGGTGGAAAAATGAGGCACTCTGATCCAGTTATTTTGGTGCGGGATAGGTGAAGACATCTTACTTCTGTTTGTCTCTTTTTAAGTACTTTGAAATGGCTCCTTCTCTCTTTCCTTTTCTCTTTTCTTTGCATTCCTCAAAGATCAAAATTAGAGGACATAAAATTCCCAGCAGAATTACTGGAGGAAGGGACGAATGTTTCTGTTCCTTTGCTGCTTTCTTCTCCTACTCCTAAGCTCTGACTTTGTAGCGGGACTCAGACCATTCAGAAGAATGAATTTTATAGAATTCTCTTTTATATTTTGGCCATGAAAACATTTAACTTTTTGATTTTCAGAGTGATCCTACTCTTAACATACCAAAGTGAATGCTTTCTATAAAGATAACTTCTTACTCAGTTGGTTTTATAGCCTTTGAAAAACACTCCCTAACCAGATGCCTCAGAATATGAATGAAAACAGTCAGAGAAACAGTGATATCAGAGGGTTACTGATATTCACTGAAAATCCTCCCTGGTCTGAATTTCCTTCCAGATGTGTGATGTGTTACATAGGATGGGAGATGATGTTCTTTTTCTTTACTATTGCCAACCCTGAGTCAATGAGTACAGGGTAGGATCAACTTTTACCAACATTAGAGGGAGGTTTCTTCTGCTTTCCAAAAATGTAAGCGTAGCCTCCTTGAAAGGAAACTATTAATATTACTGAGGCTATACTCATTCAGTAAAAGAAATTGATTTTTTTTAACCTTAGGGTTGCTGTCTGCAACCTAAGTTCCCCCATTTTACTGCATTTAAACATTATTAACCTATTCATATATTTCCACTGTATAAAAGGAAGGCATTATTTGCTGTGTTCTGTAGTAAGCATTTCATTATATATGTTTTCTACTTAAAGAACAACTGAATTTTGGAATGCTGGGTTTAAGTATCTCTGATATAGAGTGTTAGTTTTAGGGCCTTCCAATATTTCAACTTAGCAGTCAATTCCAGTACCCCTCCAATGAGAGAAGGTGAAGGAATATTCTAGAATTTTTTTTTTCTCTTTCAGAATGCTAATTGTGAAATATGGTACTGTATACCTTAGACATGATAATTTTATATTTGAAAGTGAATATGTAGGAGTAAAAATATATTTTGGTTACTTGACATGAGAATTAAACTAAAATTAGCTTGAACCAAGTGAGAAATCTTAGAACCTTTTAATTATAATCTATAGATATTTAGTGTCATCAATTGCCAAGTCATTCTAGTGGGAATAACTAGCAATGTGTTCTTGCCCAGTCATTTCAGGGGACATTGATAGAATAAAGGTATATCCACGAATGTTGCAAATTTAAGGGAAAGGAAGTTCATCATTTAAAAACTTAATATTAGCCAGCCAGGGCAACATAGTGAGACCACATCTATATAAAAAACAAAACAAAATTAGCCAACCATGCTAGTGTGTGCCTGTAGTCCCAGCTACTTGAGAAGCTGAAATGGGACAATTGCTTGAGTCCAAGTGTTGAGGTTGCAGTGAGCTATAATAGAACCACTGTACTGAAGTCTGGGCGACAGAGTAAGACTCTATCTCTTAAAAAAAATTAAAATTCTACACATACAATTTTTTTTTCTTCCAGATGTTTCATAACCAGAAAGGAAAACAGTTGCATTAAAGCTGATATTAACATGTTACAAACTAGCAAACATGGTGTTATCTTAATATTTTCAGGTGCTCCAAAATGATGTATTAGCCCATCAGTCCACAGTGGAAGCCGTTAATAAAGCAGGAAATGATCTAATTGAATCAAGTGCAGGAGAAGAAGCAAGCAACCTTCAGAACAAGCTACAGGTTTTAAATCAACGCTGGCAAAATGTTTTGGAAAAAACTGAACAAAGGAAGCAGCAGCTGGATGGTGCCTTGCGCCAGGTGAGTAAGATAATAAATTGTGAAAGTTTCTATAGCATTCAAGACCAAAATAGCATGGAATTCTTTTATTAGTTCACAGAGTCCTGTTTAATTTTTATACCTTAAGGAGAGGAGTAAAAATAAGTGAAATAAAGAACAGAACAGCAGAAGAGAACACAGCTTTCTAGTTCTTAGCATAATACTCTTATCTACTAGAGCTCTCCTCATGAAGAAAGGCAACTCTAATGGTACCTGGCTGTTCTTAAGAATGCGTAGAGAGGCTTAGCAGGCTGGGATTGTTTGAAGCTTATTTCCTGTTTGAAACTGACAGCGTTTATGGCCCCAACTTAAAACTCCCTATTACTTCAGGCCAAAGGGTTCCATGGCGAAATCGAGGATTTGCAGCAGTGGCTGACTGACACGGAGCGTCATCTGTTGGCATCTAAACCGCTGGGAGGTTTACCGGAAACAGCCAGGGAGCAGCTTAATGTCCATATGGTAAGCAACGTATTTCCTACAGCTTTAGCCTCAGAATAACAAACTGACCATTTTATATGGGCCCTGGCAATACATAAATTATGGGAGAAGGCTTTAAAGGATATAGAGTTTATGGCAGAAATCACTGTATACATGCTAGAAACACACCATTTATTGATTAAAAATTTAAAGTCAGAACCTATTCTTTATTTCAAAGGTTAGTGTGCCAGTATATGAAAAGAGGTTTTAGAATTCTAGACACTTTTAAGACACAAACCCTCCCCCACAAAATGATAAGCTTGTATGGGTAGTACTATAGCACAGTGTAAATTGTAAAATTATTGTGCATTGAAATGTAAACAAAAACCTCTAAAATAATCAGAATGACTTAAAATTATTGTTATAAGCATGATTGTCTCATTTGGTTTCATGGAAGGTTGGAAAATATACTCTTGTTCTGTTAAAAAAAGAAAACTTCCTTGTTTGTTTTAATGGTGATAGAGCTTTATCTTCCACTTCATGCTTACAACAAATACAGACACGAAGAGGAGGCTTCTGTTTTAATTGTCCAGTCTGGAGTATTGTACCTGTGGGCTGTTCCTACCTAGGTCATGTGACACAGTTGGCTCCTAAGAAGGATGAGGAAAAAATGATGAGACTTGAAATACGGGCTTTCTTTCGTAGAAATAGGGACTGACAAATTAAATTTAGGCTACGTTGGATTTATTGACATTTTAAATTCATATTCCATTATCATTCAGCACTAGAAGTTCTGAGAGGAAACAGTGTTTCAGATTTTGAAAGAGTCCCCTAATTTTTACATTTGTGAATTTACATCAGAAATTTTTAAAAATATTCGAATACTGATGATTATTATCTTGGGAGATAAAAATAGAAGTACTTAGAAATTTGGCAAAAGAAATGAATCGGTGTACATCAATATATACACTCTTTAATAGAGATATCATATTGTTGTAAGATCTTAATAAAACTGCACTTATTTGGAAATAATTTTGAATTTGGTGATTAGAAGAGCAGGTAACCATCTTGTAGATGTTGTAAAGAAATAAAACAGACTATGACAGTAGGTAGCATCACATTTATTTCACAATCACCATCAGTAGTGTAAGTCCTACTAATTTGGTATACAATTTTCTAGAAATATTTATGGTATACTTATTGTTTTTGAAAGTTATGTGTGTGGTTTTTGTTGTTGTCGTTACTGGTTTTTAGTACCACAGGAGACCTATTTGTTTCACTGGAAAAGTAACAGACTAAATAACTTGTAAGTGCTTATCTTCCTTTTTAAAAAAAACCTGAGAGACTTCCAGATAGCTCCTTACTTTCCTGGAAAGTACTTGCACAGCTTTGACAGTGTCCATTAATTATAAGTTTAATGAACTCATGAACAGATGCTTGGGATTATTTTCTAATAATATAAATATTTTTAAAAAATGTTAATTTAGAAGAGTATAAGAACTTGAAAGCAAAGAACTTATCTTTAGAATACTTTACTTTTAGAAAAATATTCCATTTCAGCTAACTGAGTTTGGGTGGGGTATTTACAATGAATCTTTTGTAACCCTATATAATAAATTATAGAAATCTGTTTAAATAAGTTTAAATTTGTGATTTAAAGTGTTCTAAAGAGTTGTTGATATTTGTAATATCATTTCAATAAAGTTCTTTTGATTTTGTTATGCTAGAAATGAAGAAAAGTACAAAATTTACAATATTAGTTTCCTGAGTTTTTAGCTATATCTGAAAGTTTTGCTTTAGGATTTAAAGGTTTTAGTAGGTGATATTGTAAATACATTTAGATAGGGCTTTTTTTTAAAACTTAATAAATAAATTTTTGAGGGGATGAAAATGTTCTGGAGTTAGTGGTAATCACAAAACCTCGTGAATATAATTTTAAAAACAGTGAATTGTATACTTATAATAGTGAATTTTATATTGTATGAGTTATATCTCAGGTTTTAAAACTTATAAAGTTAGAAATGTAAGTGAGAAATACATAATCTTCCAGTGAGAACTATGATTTAACCCACATTATAGTTAAATAAGTAGAATAGAACTAGTCTTAATGTTTTAAATAAGTAACTGTTGTTTTGTTGGTCTTAAAGTTTGAATTTGTTTAAGCAATATTTTATGTCCTGTATAGAAGATACACTCAACATTCTAGTTAGAAGCTTTAGAAATGTTCTAAATGAGAATAATATTCATAGTACCAGAAGTTTGATTCTTATAATTCCAGAGTCTGAATAATCAACTTAAATATATTACTGTGCTGGTTATTTACTTTCTGTCCATTGCATGTTTTCTGAGTGCAGAATTAAATTGTACCAATGAAATACTACATTCATTGTATCATAGTACAAGGAGGGATCTATGGGAGCCTCTCATTTTACAGAGGAAGGAATTGAGGCTCAGAGAGGTGAAATTACTTGCCCAAAGTCACAGAACTAACTAATTACTGTGCAGTGAAAGCTTTCTTGACAACATTTAAACTACTGCTTCAAATCTTAGTATGCCAGAATGGGCTGATAAAGATAACACCATTTTTGAGATTTCTCAGTAGACAGGGTATGCCTGTAGGTTTAGTTGTTGTTTCAATGTAGTGAAAAATGTAAATGTGTCAGGGTTGCTCTGAGAGAGCAGACAGAGATGAATATATGATGAGGGGCTTGGGACTAATGACCTAGAAAAATAGAACTCTTAAATTTTACTTTCTTAAAGTGATATAACTTGAGGGTATCCCAATTTAGGAAGTCTGTGCCGCCTTTGAAGCTAAAGAAGAAACATATAAGAGTCTGATGCAGAAAGGCCAGCAGATGCTTGCAAGATGCCCAAAATCTGCAGAGACAAATATTGACCAAGACATAAATAACTTGAAAGAAAAATGGGAATCGGTGGAAACCAAACTCAATGAAAGGAAAGTATGTACTTTGATTAATATAATGGAATCAGTGTTTTAGTTTTTCCATTGCTTGGACATTGCCTTATTTCTGAGTAGAGCTATCAGCAGTAGAACTTTCAGTGATTCATGTTTAAACATTTTTTTTGTATATATTCAGATATTTCATGGGGTTAGTTGAAAATAATATTCTAGTTTAACATGAGAACAGATTTAAAGGGGGATATATTCAAAAACAAAGATATAGATCGAATGTTACTAAGGTATATTTTTAAATGTTAAGAACTACTCAAATTCTGGACCATTAAATAATTAATTCTATTTTAGTCTAATTTGTTTAATCTAATTAAACAAAAAGCTGTACGTATATGGAGGAGGGAGGGAGGGAAAGCAAGAGAGTGAGATGATTGTATATATTCTTTTAAGTACTTACATTTAAAATTTAAGTACTTACATTTTAATCCATTCTCATGGATTAAAATGTATATTAAATTATGAATATGTTTTTGTTACTTTTTTAAAACCACAAAAATGACAATCTAAGGAATCTCAATATTGCTATTCAATGCTATGAAAAAAACAATAGGCTAGAAATATGAGATTATATGCCATCACTGATGGAGCATAAAGTATATTTCATAATATTTTGAGCCCCCAAATTAATTATATAAATATCAACTTTTCTTTTTATAGATTGTAGTTGTGTTCTTTGGTTAGTTTCCAAAAAACATGCTTTAGTGTATATTAAATTTTTTCTAGTTACAGTAAGATGCTGCTTACTAGGCTTAAAGGGTTTTGGTTTGCCAGTATTTTAGTGAGGCACATTACGTTTATAAGATATTTAGTTAATATATTAATAGATATGCATAAAGTGAGGATAGGAGAGGAATCTGACAGAGAATGTTTAAACTGAAACAAACAAAATAACCAAGGCCCTTGAACATCACATACTAAACAATCTGTTCTTGCAGACTAAACTGGAAGAGGCTCTCAACTTGGCAATGGAGTTCCACAATTCTCTCCAAGACTTCATCAACTGGCTTACTCAGGCTGAACAGACCCTAAATGTAGCTTCTCGGCCAAGTCTTATTTTGGATACTGTCTTATTTCAAATTGATGAACACAAGGTATGTAGTGAGTCAAATAGATAGGATTCTCCTTTCAGACACCAGGCCTTTTTTTTTTTTTTTTTTTTTCCCCCCGAGACTGAGTCTCACTGTAGTGGTGCAATCTTGTCTCACTGCATCCTCTGCCTCCCGGTTCAAGCGATTCTTGTGCCTCAGCCTCCCCACAGGTAGCTGGGACTACAGGCGCCCACCACCATGCCTGGCTAATTTTTGTATTTTTAGTAGAGATGGGATTTCACCATGTTTGCCAGGCTGGTCTTGAACTCCTGACCTCAAGTGATCCTCCCGTCTCAGCCTCCAAAAGTGCTGATCTCAGGCATGAGCCACTGTACCTGACTGACAGCAGGCCTTTTTAAACTCAAAAGAATGCATTTGGTATTTTGAAAGCTTTTGTTTGGCCTTTAAAACAATTTCAGGTTTATGACACCAGAAGCATTTTTAATACTGATCTGATTTTCATTTGTTTCTACTTACGTCCTTTTTTTCTGGGAAAGGTTTTTGCCAATGAAGTAAATTCTCATCGTGAGCAGATAATAGAACTGGACAAAACTGGAACCCACCTAAAATATTTTAGTCAGAAACAAGATGTTGTTCTAATCAAGAATCTACTTATCAGTGTACAAAGTCGATGGGAAAAAGTGGTTCAACGGTTGGTAGAGAGAGGAAGATCTTTGGATGATGCAAGGAAGAGAGCCAAGCAGGTAATAATCCTTTAGAAAAATTCTTCTAAACTTGTCAATAAATCACTTCTAGCTGTTGAAATATATGTTATGGATGTACTTTTATCGCAGGCTGTATTAGGCATAACAATCATGGCATGGTGCCATGGTGGTTCTTTCCTGAGAGGTCTGTGGCCTCAATTTGGATGCTGACATCACTTTTTGACCTGGCAGCAACTTCAGCCCCTGGGGACTAATCTTAAGAAGACTGATTACAGCTTGACTTTATAGACAGGCTATTATCATTGAGGCCCAGAAAGAAGCTCAGAATTTTTTTTTATTGGATTTGTTTTCTTTTTCTTTGTCCTTTTGACCTCCGTTCTCATAATCAGAGTGAGACATCATACTTCATTGTATTGCTACCTTTTGTGTAGTTCCTAAGCCAGACTTTCTTCACAAGCTATCAGTGCTGAGAGCCAGACATGGAGCCCTCCCGACAGCTTTCTGAAAGGTCATATTCTCTGTCTGAGTTGGTCGGCACTCCCCACCTCTCTGAACACTTGTTGACAGACCTTCATTTCTTTTCTAATATTTTGAGCAGATAATAGAGCTCCATCTCACTTTGAAATTAATTTTTTTAATCTTTTGGGGCCACTTTAAAATTTTAATCTAGGGAATTTCACAAATTTCACAAAGAACTCTCCTTACTCCCTTTACCTGTTATTAGCATTCCATTCTAGACTAAACACAAAGAGGTAAAGTTATGCAGTCTCTGTGTATCTTTGTACTCCATGGAAGAGAGAGATGTACCTACCTTGCTTGACAAATATATATATTTTTAAATCTTTGATTCTTACTAGAAATTTAGTGTAATATTGTAGGAGGATTTTACAATTACTTTTTGCCTCAGTCAGCTGCAATTTTCCAGCCTTAGTGTTATACCCCATTGTTTTGAGGAGTTAGGTTCAATTGGGTGATGCAAAAAGACGTCATGAGAGTCAAGTGTTTCAATGTTTAATGCTAACAGTACAAATGTTTAAAGGTTTTAGAAACGACAAATTGCACTGTTATAGCATTACACACCGTAGACCCCATTTTGAATGGGAGGTGTGAAATGTTCAATGTTACAGATGAGTCACTGGGATAGACTTTGTTTCTAATGTTTCTTTAAGACAGTATTAATTCTGAGCCTGACACTTTTCTCTCCACATATGTGGTGCAATAGCAGGTGTAGTGCAGGCATTTCTTGAGTTATGAACATCAATTTACAAATGTTTCTTGGATATCAGTAGCCAGTTGCTCGTCTTTTTCCTCCTTTCTTGATTTAATCAATTTTATTTTCTTATTTTGTCTAATTAACTTTATAAATATTTGCTACTGTTTTTAGTGCAAATGTAGAGCATTTCCTCTATTTATATGGCTTAAAAATAGTTTTGAAAGCAGAACCAGCCTCAGAACTTGTGCATTTGTATCATTGACCTTACCGTCCAACTGTTACAGCCTGTATTATTTGGAGTCAAACTACCTAACACCTTGACTCGCTGTTTCTTCAATTTATTTCTTCTTATTCTAATATCTCAGTTTTTGGCTCAGATATTGATCATACTTCTCTGACTTCCACAATTCATGTGTCTATTCTAGTTTCCATTTTTCCGTGTTTAAATTGATTAAAGTTGTGAGAGGGATATGAAGGTTTGTAATGAGATGATCTCCAGAGAGCCTTTACAGTTTTGTGAGTCTGTGTCCTTAATCTGCTCTTATTGTTAAATATCTTGTTGTTATTTCATTATTCATGTGCTTTGGTATACAATAGATTTAATTTTGATTACTAAATTTTTTGTTAGGTATCTCTGTTCACTTAAGCTTATTGTGATATAATTTATAACCAATTTCACAATTGTATCAGAAAATAGTACCTGGTGGTTCTTTATGGCGAACAGAAAACTGTGCTCAAAATCAAATATGTATAGTACTAGAATGTTTGCAAGGTTATAGATGCCAAAGAGAATAACATTTTGTTAGAACCCAAATATTGTGGCTGCTCAGACATATAAAACCAATATGTGAGGCATAGGCATTAATTTGAGGATTTTGATAGCAGCAATAAAGATGTTGAAATATCTTTGCATTAAATAGGAATGCAATGGTGTCTTTTTTGTTTTTGCTACTTTAAAAAATCAATTTACAAGCTTTATAGTTCCCCCTACCCATTTTTGTTCCTTTTTCTTAACATAGGGATTAAATTCCCTAGGAGTAAACCCAGCTCTATCAACAGACAGCAGTAAACAACAACAACAATAAAAATACAAAACATTTTCTGAGAGTTTATGTTAATTATTGAACAAGAAGAAAGTATAAGGAAGAAGTTCTTTCTGGAGCTTCCTAACTTTTTTCTAGGCTCTTTTAGAGCTGATATGTTGAATGAATTAAAACGAAGTGACAGTGGGGCACAGCCACCAATAATGCTAAGCATTATCAAGACTTTTTTTGTAATTTGCCAATGAAAGCATTACTTTTTTCTTCTTCAGTGGAAATTTTGAAATAACAATTTTCAGCATTTTCATTACTATTAATCTCTGTCTTAAAACTATACTAGGTCTCAAGTATAATATGCTTAAAAAAGTTTCAGACAAAGATGTGAATTTCTTTCCAGTTCCATGAAGCTTGGAGTAAACTTATGGAGTGGCTGGAAGAGTCAGAAAAGTCTTTGGATTCTGAACTGGAAATAGCAAATGATCCAGACAAAATAAAAACACAACTTGCACAACATAAGGTAGGTCCATAATTAAGAAGAGCATATTGTCTCATTATATAGTTCAAGATCACTTTAAAATCCTTGCTTCATCACGTGTTTATTCATCACTAAAGAAAAAAAGCTGTCCAATGTGAACCTATATTAAATTTAAAACCTATTGCACTTCATGTTAGTCGTGTTGCAGTATCTTTACTCTTCAGTGACCATTTCATTAATGATTCCAAGGTTAATTGTTAAAAAGAAAAACATACAAAATAAAAATGGAAGTCGTCTACATTCTAAAACATATAAAGGATTTGTAGTGGTTTTGAACATTGGCATTTCAGTTTTTCATGATAGCTGTCTTTTTCTGTACTTTCTTTGACAGACAAAATAGCACCTTGAAGATAATTCTGTAGAAAAAGTAATAGATATTTGAAATATAGATTCTTTTAAACAATAGAATGAGAAAAATTGGTTGCCCGTACCTAAATTCAAAATTAATATTTTATTGTGTTTGTGCACATATAAAATTACACCCAACCTCAAAGATATCCAAAGACATGTTTATATAGACTAGAAAAGCATGTAGAAACACTGTTTTTTAAATATTTTCTACCTTTTCTATGTCTATCACATTTTATACCTACCACATAACATTCAAAGAGCATTCTCTCCCACCCTTCCCAGCTCTTTTGAATTTGGATTTCTATGTAATTCTATTTATAAAGTGACCCTACCAGCCGTCAGGGTGAGGATGTGGGTAAAAGGAGAGTGATTCTTGCTAAGGGTTTTACAATTTTAGGCATGTACATATAAATTATCGCTTGAAACATGATAATTTTAAAAGACTGGAAAAATTGCGCTGATAAAAATTTTATCATTATCAGGAGGAAATCCTGGCCATCATCTTCACACAGGTGGCTGCTTCCGTCAGTGGGTCTAACCTTTGGAGGTCATGATTAGAGGGATGGGAGGAAACATATTGAGCATCTGCTCTCTGGCCAGATGAGGGCTAATGAATGGCTTGCTCTGCTGGCACCCTTTGTGAGCTGCCACATTCAATATTGGGAGCACAGTGACAGTGAACAGCACCTTCCTTCCTTCCCCTCTGATAGCGAAATGAGAGCTTCCTTCTCAAAATAGAATGCTTTATTTGAACTTGAACATGGATGTTGTATCATGTAGTCTTATGAAAGTGTATTGCATAGTCCTATAAATAAGAATATCTACCTTTTTAGAGTCTCTGTTTGGCAACAGTGATGTGTATTCAACCATAACACTTTTTGTATGTCTGCTTTGTGAAGAAAATCTCTGTCAATACCATGATTCTATAACATTGGCATTCTGTTTAGAATAATACGAAAAAAATATTTATGGATAACAAACTGTAGAAATAATGTGATTATAATTGTGTTGTCTATTACTTAGAAATTTCCAGATGCACTTGCCTATTACCCATGACAAACTAAATAATTTAGTCATATTAAAACATTTTAAAGTATGTAGCTTTTAAAGGCAGTAAAAACTTCTTAGGTAACTATAACCTTGAGATTATTTTAGAAAATTGTACATTTGCATAGCATTTTACTATCTAAGGTAATTTTAATTTGCTACAAGGATTGAGAATCACTATATTAATGTTTCCATTATATTTTATGAGTTTGTAAGCTTCCCATTAAGTTGACGTTTCTTTGTTCTCATTCCTGCTATTGGATATTCAGTAGCAGTTATCTCATTCTTTCTACTCTTCCTGTTGAGTATTTATAAACATCTACTAGGTGTAAGATGATAATGAGAGGTGTACAAAGACAATGTCCCTGCTCTATAAAAGCTTATAATTGAGTTGTGTAGAAAGACTATACAGATGTTCCTCAACTTACAATGGGTTTTTATCCCCATAAACGTGCTGTAAGTTGAAAATTTTGTAAATCAAAAATGCATTCAATACAACTAACATTAGCTTAAAATAGAACAAGATCATCTAACACAAATCCTGTTTCTATAGCAAAGTATTGAATACTCAGGTAATTTATTGAATACATGACTGAAGTATGGTTTCTACTGAATCCCTGTGACTTTTGTACCATGGTAAAGTCAAAAAATCCTAAGTCATCATAAGTCAGGGACTGTCCATAATTCATCTCCATTTATTAGGAATGCCTCTGTTAATGCCTCTTACCTATTTATTAGTCCCAAGAAGAAATGCACATATTTTTTCTTGTTAAATGTATAGGAGTTTCAGAAATCACTCGGAGCCAAGCATTCTGTCTATGACACCACCAACAGGACTGGACGTTCTCTGAAGGAGAAAACCTCCCTAGCTGATGACAACCTGAAACTGGATGACATGCTGAGTGAACTTAGAGACAAATGGGATACCATATGTGGAAAATCTGTGGAAAGGTAAAATGTTCTTTAAGACAGTTTGGTTACTCTGTAGACTTCTTTCAAATACGCAGTAATGGTGCTTTGCAGGGACATTTCAAAAACCTTAAATATTTCCTTTGCCTAAGGAACTTCTGCTTGTCCTAAGTACCCCACACAAATATCATCTGCATTGAGAAGACTTTGCTGTTCATTATTTTTAACTACTCATTACAATAAAAAGTGATATCATTGTCCAAGCTTCTGCCATCTCACACCTGACTACACCCACTGCTTCTGACTCGTCTTCCCACGTCCACCTTTATCACTTCTTTAACTCAATTTCTACGTAACTACTAGGATTGTCTCTTAAAAATGTAAATGGAATCTTGTCATTCCCCTCCTTCATACCCTTTGGTGACTTACTACTGGGCATGCATTGAAACATAGGCTTCTTAATGTGATGTGCAAGGTACCACTCATCTGGCCCCAGCATTTCTTTCTAACTCCATCTACCCTTTTTTGATCTCCCTCGTTCTTATTACATTTCCATGAAAACCCAAGACGTATTTCAAAAATTTTAAGTAATTAAGTACAATAGTAGTAGAGTTCAAATATCTTGTACATGTTTCCAAATTTTCCTGTTGATCCTTAATCCTAATGATTTTTGTCAGCATCAAGATTAAATAGGTTATATTCAGTTCTAGGGAACTCAGTAAGTTTTTGTCACGTTAGTTTTTTAAAAATCTTAAATTCCTGAGCCACAAAATTTTACATACCTTTTCCAGTATTGTATATATGGTTTTATTTACAACATTTTTGAAAAGACAAAATAATGAAGTCATGACAAACAGATCAATGAATGCTAGGGGCTTGAAGACAGGGACAAGGTGTGTCTATAAAGAGACAGCATGAGGGAGAATTTTGGGATGGTTGAACTGTTCTGGATCTTGATTGTGGTGATGGTTACATGAATCTATATATGTGTTAAAATGTATAGAAGTGTATATGAAAAAATGTCAAGTATACTGCCTGATAATCTAAAACAAAATTTTAAAAATATTTGAACAATTTTAAAGGTCGATTTTTATAAAGAAACATGAAGAGTCCATGGTTTCCAAAGGTGGGAATTTTCCTGGAACAGATGCCGTGTATTTAAGGAATAAAAAAGAAAGTTTAGAAAAGTTTTGGGTTTTTTTCTAAGAAGAGCAAAGAAGCAACAATGAATACCAATATACTGCTCTTCCTCTTGAGTACCAGTCAGCCTTCATCAATTAATTTTAGATGTTCAGATATATGAGTGGCTTTTTTTGTTGCAAGGATCAATTCTTCTACCTTTTTCCCTAGACAAAACAAATTGGAGGAAGCCCTGTTATTTTCTGGACAATTCACAGATGCCCTACAGGCTCTCATTGATTGGTTGTATAGAGTTGAACCCCAGCTGGCAGAAGACCAACCTGTTCATGGAGACATTGATTTAGTAATGAATCTGATCGATAATCACAAGGTAATGTTATCTGGGGCATTTTATTTTATCTTGTTTGATTACTCTGAGTGTACAAGAAAATATGAACCATTTAAATTAGCTTTTAAAATCAGGAGACTATAGATCATATGACATAACTGTCTTTATTTTTGAAATATGTGTCTGAGCAGAACCTGGAAGCTACCTTTAAAAGTGATGGGGAAATATTATTTAGTGTCAGTGAAATACTTTTGTTTTTAATTACTGGATCTAAAACCTTTTTAGAATTTAGAAAGTGATTTCATTCTCTGGTGCTTTAAAACAGATTTCAAGAATGTTTTACTGTCTTTAGTTATGCACTTAAACAATTATGTAATAAAATTTAAAATCATTCATTCAGTGACCTGACACTAAGTTATTGCATAAGTGTGTAGATTTGTGACATGATCCGTGGGGGTCATGACCAACTGCTTTTAAAAATATGGAACCAAAACTGTTTTAACCTTGCCCCTTGAACTATAGCAATTTATGAGTCAGCAGCATGTGCTATGAGGGATTTGATTATTGTTTACTTCAAGAAAACTGGCTTTCTTGAAATCTCCTGATACATTTATGTTAAACTGTCGTGTCACGTAAATCAAAGGTAATATTCAAGGTGTCCAGCTAAGTGTAAGGTCCTAAATTATGATCAAATCATATAAAACAACTTAGCCTGGAAACAATATGAAGCATAGTACTAATTTAGAATAGTTGTGTCGGAGTTGACTTTATATAAAAACATCTTACATCACTCTACTTGAATTCATCTTGTATTTCCTCTGTCTAGTGTTTGAGTTCAGAAAACTTATTTCATTTGTAATGTTCTCTTTATACTGGTTATGCTATTTTGATCTTATCATTCTTTTTAAAATAGTCTTATTGCATATTTATTTTCCCTTTTTTCTTTCTATTCTATCGTTATACCCATAAGAGAGTTTGTTACACTCAAAAAGTGAAACAAACTAAATTAAAATAAAATAAAAGAATAAATAAAGAACAACGGTTAGGTCTATAAAAGCTAAAAATTTAAAAATTACATGGCTTTGCTTATATTGAAATAAATATTTTGTGTATGGTTAATACTCCTCTATTTCCTGGCATTTATTCAATGAGTAATGAATAGCGTAATGTTACTTTTTACATAAATGCCATTTCTGTAAACTCACTGTCTAAATATTTAGTACTCTAGGTAATTGCCAGATCTTTTATATATTAAAGGTCATCAAGAATGAATGAATCATTTAGCATTAGTAATACAACTGGAAGGCTCAAGAAGTTCAAGTATGCAAAATGCTTTGGAAAGTCTGCTAAAAACTATTGGACTAGTCCTATCATAAATGGAATATTTAAATACTGTACCATTTGCATATGTGTTTATGTGTGTGTGTGAATGTGTGTATTGGTGTATATGTGCGCATTTGTATCTATCTGCAGGCATATCATAACTGTTAGAGTTGAATCCGTCAAATAATCACTTTTGTGATAGGCTCACTTTTGTGAATGATGTGAGTGTCAGAATAGAAACCTATAGATAAGGCCAAATGGTAATATTCATTTATGATGATTTTTTAAAAAACTCATTAATTTCATTGTGACAGAGTGTTGGTTATTAATGTTTGAAAGATCTAGTTGCATACACAGATTCTTGGATCAAAAATAAAGAGCACTGGGCTCACTTCTTAGATCAGTCTGTGGCCAAAATAAATCAATTTTAATTTCTGGCACATCAAAGTTTGTCAAAATTAGGCAGGAGAAAAAAAAAAAACAACCCAGAAACTTTTCCTCTAAGGTGAAAGACGGGGATTTAAGCCTCTAAAATTTGACATTATGAGTTAGTACCTAATATATTATGAAAGACCAAGGAGTTTTGTAGGAGTCAAGGACCGTCTGCCAACTTCCTATGGAATTCCCTGCCATTATCTCTAAGAACTCCATGGTACACACATCAGGATTGTTTAGTCCTCTGTTAGCTTCTTAGGTACATCTCTTAGAGTAGTGCCGAAGCCAGGATCACTTGGAATTCACACTAATTATTTGAGAGGAATTGGGACACCATATTAAAGAATCATTAAAAAAAGGAATCTGATACATTGTTTTATGAAATTGAAATAAAGAAGGCTGGCTGCCATTATTTAAATCCAATATGTCATTTTAAAATAAGGTAATCTCGTTTTCTCACGAGAATGTGACAGGACTGAATAAATGTATACAAGACTATTCTTGATGATGCTCAAATAGGAGTAGTGTGTCGTTTATCTTCTGAAGATGCTGCCAGAAATATGGTTATTGAACTTTAGGTCTTAGATATCTGTACATGATGTTATATGCACATATATATCTCAAACAGTATGTGTTACTGTTTTGGTTTTGTAATTAAAAATAATTTTTCAAAATATGGTCTTCTTAGGCCTTCCAAAAAGAGTTGGGGAAGAGGACCAGCAGTGTGCAGGCCCTGAAGCGCTCAGCCCGAGAACTCATAGAAGGCAGTCGGGATGACTCCTCCTGGGTCAAAGTCCAGATGCAAGAATTAAGCACACGCTGGGAGACCGTGTGTGCACTTTCCATATCAAAGCAAACGCGGTTAGAAGCAGCCCTGCGTCAGGTAAAAACCATGTAAATGAGAGCTGGGTGTAATGGGAAAAGTATTGAAACCTCAACAAGAACTATTCTAGTAAAAAACTGAGTAAACTGTGAGTAAAAAACCTCGTGTCTCAATCAGGACAGTCTGAAGAAGGAAATTCTAATAGCATCATTGCCTTGATCCTTCTCCCACCCTCCCCCATGAATTTAAATTACTGCTAGAGGGAGGCATTCTAATCTTCACATAGAAGTGCTGCTTGAGTAATGTTTCAGCTTGGAAGTATGATGGACTGCCATTCATCTAAAATCAAGTTGTTAAAGTGGTAATTTTTTCTTCATATAGGCCTTTTTTATATATTAGGTGTTTTCTTATTTTTAAAATATGTATATCTTTATCTTCTTAATGGGAGTAGTGAAGCAATTTAAATTTAAAACTTTTTGTTTTTTTTCATTGAAAGGATGAATCCACTATACAGTTCTGTAAATTGTGCTAACAGGCATATTTGGGAATTTTGTTTGGTGTGTGTGTGTGTGTGTGTGTGTGTGTGTGTGTATGTGTGTGAACTCTTAGGCAGAGGAATTCCACTCGGTGGTACATGCCCTCTTGGAGTGGCTGGCTGAGGCAGAGCAAACCCTGCGTTTCCATGGTGTCCTCCCAGATGATGAGGATGCTCTCCGGACTCTCATTGATCAGCATAAAGTGAGTAATATATAAATGCTAAGTAAAGCTACATTAGAAAATCAAAGCAAGGAAAATAGACTCATGATTACAAATATCAACTGCATGAATATTTTCCTTCCTGAGAAATACTTAAACACCTGGTACATTTGAGAGTGTACTTCTGTCCACCTTGCTTACATACGTATGTCCCCGTGCACCCACACACATGTATGTGTACCTGTCTTTTTATGTTTCCTTTTTAGGGAAGGTAGTTATTCTGTTTCCTATCTCAAGGAAGCATATTGATTTATCTAGGCTTTTTGGCTTTTGACCAAAATTGGTCGATATTGTTGCAGTCATTATGTGGGTTTCAAAAATAAAACTTCTTTAATAGGCAGTTTGGCATTTATAAAATTATACCTGTAGGATTGTAAATTAGTAATTTTGCCCTTTGTAAACAAGACACACAGGTAATTTAATAACTCACCTTTAAATCTATTTTTAAGCCTCCGCTGCTTCTGTTCTTAATCAAGAGCCTTTTAAATCCTTTTTAGAAGTAACCTATAGTATACATTAAAAATTTTAAAAATGAATTCCACAAGCCAATATTCTGTTGAATAACTAACCAAGTCTAAATCTGGCTATTGAGTTTTCAAATCAAGATTTTTCCTGTGGCAATGCATGAAACTTGCCAAAACCCTTCAGAGAGTGATCCAGATATCTCTTAACAGATGTTTTTTAACCTTTGACTCAAAAAGTCAGGAATTTGAAATGGTAACACTCAATGTAGTGTTGATGTGAGCATTTCCTATTAACTTTAAAGGATCTTTTTAACACCAGTAAATAATTTTGTCTTTTGAGATCAGGCTGGAAATACATCATTAATTTTAGTGTAGCATAGATAACATCATCTGTAGAGAGTTGTTATTTTAATTGATACCCTCTATCAAAAATGGGTTGCTGCATCTATAGCAATGAAATATTGCCACGTCATTTAAAAAGTGGTGCAAGCTTTCATAGCATTTTCTGGAAGAATGAAATGCTATATACACCATTTAAATTTGAAGCTAGAATATAAGAAGAAGACAATTACATCAAATTTATTATAAATTTTTGAGTCCATTCAACATTTTGAAAATGTAGTTTATATTATATTACTGTGGCTTACCATCAGCCAGCATTGAGTTCTATTAACATTCTTAGGTTTGGGTCTCAGAGTAGCAATAAATATTTGCTGGACACCACTTAAAGCCCGTCGTGCATATCTAACACCCTACAGAAAGGAGCCTATTTGTGGTATCACCACTCTCACAGGACCAAGAAACCTCCAGGAGGCAAGTATCCAGAGCAGGGGTAGTGGTTTTTATAACAAATTATTTTTAAATAGCATAAAATTACCAGTAATTTTATAAAGCATTTCTTAATAATATTTTGCAGTAACACTATTCATTCTTTTCCATCTCTTCTGTTTCCCTTCGCACATTCACCATTCACCAATCAAAGAAAAACCAAATATTTAATTTCTTAACACTAGGACTAGAAACTTCTTAGTATAATCCAGTTTCTAAAAACGGCAGGCTTTCCCACATGAGAACAAACCAGTAAGGTAAGGTTCAGACTAGGTTGGAAGGGCATAGAATTCAGTGGAATGTTGACAGTCCCATCCACCAAATAGGTGTACAAGTGATTGAGAGTACATTATTTGTATCAGCTGTTCTCTGGGGAAACACAGATGTTAGATTAACCTATTTTTTCCTCTTCCTTATAATGTTGCAGTTTTTAACTTTTTCCATTTAAGAGGATCTGTATTGAAAAAGTGATAATTTTTTAAGTTATGATATTTAAAAAGTAGGTCATGTTATCAGAGTGTACCATCAATTGAAACTTGACTCTATTATAGTAAACTTGTAAATAAAAGGTCTAGAAAGCATTTATTCAGTAAATCATATACTCTTTTGAACGAATTACTGGGAACATAAAAATGAATAAAACACAGTCTTTTAATCTTATGGACCGAACAGTCTAATATAGCAAAATGCCAGAGTAGGAGATATGTCACAGAGCTGCTTCACAGAGATTAAAGACAAAAGGCCACTTATATTAGAGTAAAACATATAAAAATATTATATAAATTTAAATTCAGAGAGTACATGTACATGTTTGCTACCTGAGTATATTGAGTAATGGTAGAGACTGGACTTCTTTTGTACCAGTCATCCAAATATTAAACACTGTACACAATAGGTAATTTTTTAAATTTTTCAACCCTCAGGCCCCTTTTATCCTCCATGCTTTTTGGAGTCCTCAGTGTCTATTATTTCCATCTTTATGTCCATGTGTTCCCATTGTTTGGCTCCCACTTATACGTGAGAATATGTGATATTTGATTTTCTGTTTGAGTTACTTCACTTAGGATAATGGCCTCCAGCTCCATGCATGTTGCTGCAAAGTACACGATTTCATTCTTTTTTATGGCTGCATAGTATTCCATGCTATATATGTACCACATTTTTTTTATCCAATCAACTGTTGATGGACACTTAGGTTGGTTCTGTGACTTTGCTTTTATGAATAGTGCTGGAATTAACATATGAGTGCTGGTGTCTTTTTGATATAACAATTTCTTTTCCTTTGGTTAGATACCGAGTAGTGGAATTGCTAGGTCAAATGGTAGTTCTAATTTTAGTTTTTTGAAATATATCCATACTGTTTTTCATAGACATTGAACTAATTTATATTCCCACTAACAGTGTATAAGCACTCCCTTTTCTCAGCATCCACATCATGTGTTGTTTTTTCACTTTTTAGTAATAGTTATTCTGACTTGTGTAATATGATATCTCAGGGTGGCTTTAATTTGCGTATCTCTGATAATTAGTGATGCCGAGCATTTTTCATGTGTGTGTTGGCTGCTTGTATGCTTGTATTTCTTCTTTTGAGAAATGTCTGTTCATGTCCTTGTCCCAGTTTTTGGTGGAGTTGTTTGTTGTTTTCTTGTTGAGTTGTTTGAGTTCCTTGCAGATTCTGGATATTAGTCTTTCTTCAGAGGCATGATTTGCAAATATTTTCTCCCATTCTGTAGCTTAGCTGTTTACTCTGTTGATTCTACCTTTTACTGTGCAGAAGCTTTTTTATTTAATTAAGTCCCATTTGTCTGTATTCATTTTTGTCGCATTCACTTTTGGGATCCTTGTCATAAATTATTTGCCTAGGCCCATGTCCAGAAGAGTTTTTTCTAGGTTTTCTTGTAGTATTTTTATTGTAAAACACGTATGTTTCAAAGTGAACACCCCTCTTCACATAGTGTGAGTAGCACGGGCGTCATCGACATCTGCGGCCTCTGACACTCATTGTATAATCAAGTAATTGCTCTTGGTGCAGGGGTCCAGAGAGACTGGGGTGTCTGCAGATCTCTGACATTATATATGAGATTTTGGAAGCATGTCACATTTTTAAGGGCAAAGATTCTCAATTTGTAGTCACATTTTCAGAGTTCTATGGTGTGTTTATCTATGGATGTAGTTCTGATGGTAGAAAGTACAATTATGTATGTGAGACATTTGTAAAACATTTATTTGAAAGATCATCCTCGAGGATGTCAAGGCTTTGTTCATTCTGCTTGCTCAGAGGGACTTGCTCGAACCACTAGAACTGCCAGAACAGAGGAGAGTGCCTCTTACTGGCATCTTAAAGGGACAGTTCTCACATGGGCTGACGTGCTGTCAGGCTCACTCTCTGCAACCTCCCCCTCACTTTTTCATGCCTGGACACTTTGGGCCCTGTCTCCCGTACCCCCAAACATTTATATTTCCTTACCCTGTCTTCTCTCTACTTAGTACTTTTAAATTCATGCTCCTATATTTCCTGGCATAGTTAATGCTATTTTAAATATTAACCTCCTTATCTTATTTGTTAGAACTTATTTTTGGTCAATCAATATTGTTTCTATCTCTAGCAATACTGCCTCTCCCAATGCTATTCTCCATTAATAATATAATTATATCCAAATTTGGAAGAGTTATTTTTTGTATAATACATTTTTAAAGCATGAAATATCCTATAAAGTTGGCCCTCTGTATCCAAATACTCAAAAATAAAATAGTTAAAAATATTCAAAAATAAAATGGATGGTTGCATCTGTGCTGAAGATATACACACTTTTTTCTTTGTCATTATTCCCTAAACAATACCATAACAACTATTTACAATTATTTACATTGTATTAGGTATTATTAGTAATCTAGAGATGATATGAAGTATATGGGGAGGATGTACTTAGGTCATATGCAAATACTACATCATTTTATATGAGGGAGTTGAGCATCCTTGGATTTTATTACGCACAATATCCTGGAACCAACTCCCCATGGATACCAAGGGATGACTGTACTTGTATTTTAAAGTACATATTAGAAAGTACTTTTTCTATTTTGTCCCCTTTTCCTCCCCAATTAGTAAATGATTTCCACTGTGAATAAACCAGTTGAAGTTTTTGCTTATTTGTTTAGTTCTGGCAGTCAAACAAATGTCACCAGAGTTTTGTTTTCAGCCAATGCCAACAGTTAATTGAAGTCTTTGTTTCTGCTGTA